CTGCCCTAGCCCCAGGGCTATGCTTTTCCTACCCCCCACTCCTGGCTCTGGGTTATTTTGAGCCTTCTTCCCAGCTCTTTGCCCCCTCTTCCCACAGATCATCCAGCCCCTCCCCCACCCAGCCCACCAAACCCCACCTACTGCAAGCTGCTCCTGGTGCTGGTTTTTTTCAGTGTTTGCTGCTGCTGGAAGCCAAGAACGTAAGTCCTGGTGTGAAAAGGGGCAGGAGGGCTGGGGGTATTTTTGCTGAGAGTGGTTGTTTGTCTGGAAGTTTGGAGGTCAAGGGTGCTAAAATAGCCCCTGGACTCAGGGGGTGGGGGAGAGAGCCCCAGTGGACTCCAGAAGCCTCCTGATCCCACCAAACACTTCCAGACCCCAACAACCGCCTGTGGACCCTGCCTGCCTGCCGCCCACCAGCCCCCAGCCCTGATTCCCCTCTTTGGACTCTGCTCGACCTCCAATTTCCCCTCTTTGAACTCCACTTATCCCTCTGACTCCTCCTGCATGCCTCCCTGGAGTCTACTTGCCCCTCTGATTTCCCCCTGCCACTGGCTCCCCCCATGCTGACTTACCTTGGATGGGGTGCCTATTTTTAACTTGATCTAACCTCCCACTAACTTTTCTGAATTTCTATATGCAGCCTAATCTATCCAATTCAAAAAGTTCAGTGTAGTTTGGATTTTTTTTTACCTCATTTCCCTACCCCTCCCAATCCCTGAGTTCAGGTTGTCATGGATGGTACTCTTGCAATGTTATTATATATAAACAAAGAGGGAGGTGCTCATTTCACATGACTTTACAGGGGAGTAGTATTTCTGTGGGCAAAGTGCCTTCTCCATTACAGATTCTCAGCACCCTTGCATATATCAGGGAAGGGTAATAGTTTGGCATTCTTGAGCAGAAACACGATAATTTAATGAATGTGCCTTGAAAACAATGGGTGTTTATACACATGCTCTGGGAGTGTGGTGGGGTGGTGGCGCTTTAATTAAAGTGGCTCAGAGAACTGCTCTAATTAAAGCTCCTGGAGAGTCATGTCAAACAAGGTTCAGTTAAAGTGCCCCTGCTGCCATTTTTCAGCACATGGATGCTGATGCATGCGATGCTGGAATCTGTTGGAGCATGGTAATTACTTAATTAATTGAGTCTGCTCCAACATGCTGTAACTACAGCACTTTGGAGCAGCCTTGCTGCACATGTATAGGCACCCAATAATTCTAAGAGATCTTCTGGTAGGATCATCTGTGTATAAAGCTCTGCAAGCTAATGACTTCTTGATGTCTGTCTTTTCTCTTCACTGATAAGAAGGTAATAAGGTAAAGTAAGAAAAGATTGAAATGATTCCTGTTGCGCCAGTATAGACTAAGCAGGGATGGTTTCCAGATCTGCTTCATTTCTCAGCAAGAATCTATCATGTGTCCTTTGACACTTGAAATCTCCTGACTCAAAAATGGTTGAATTTATCATCTAGGCACAGGCTCCTGCAACTCTCACTGTGTGGGCAGTGGGTTCTAACACAGACTTGTTTCACAGATGTTCAAAAGATTAGTTTAACTAAAAAGAAAATTCAATTGAGGAGTCTTACAATCTAAAATATGAAAGCATTATACTTCGGGAACACAACAGCAATATATTCTGCCACTCCAGGATGTAGCATATTGAGTATGCTATTGAGTATTAGCTTCAGCGTAAGCGCTCAGAACTGTCACTATCATCAGCTAAGGTTCATTTATCAGCCCTATTGTCCTTTAGATTGCTCATTGAAAACGAATCAGTGTTTGCCTGTGAAACAGTGGGAAAACATTCTAAGGGGCCTCAGCAATAGCTAGTGTCTTATTTGATGTCCTACACCTTTAGGGGAGCTTAATTTAGTTTTTTAACAACTATTGAAACACATTTGAGCCAATGGGAGAAATTATTGATTAAAATAATATTATTGCTTCAAATCACATCTGCAAAAAAGGAAATGAAGTATAAGCACTCATGTATAATTTTTCATAAGGGCAGAGTCCTACTACATCTTATCTTGGATTTCTCCTGACGGTAGTCATAGATTTTTTGCATCAGTCATCCTATCTGTGTAAGTTAACATTCACACATGGGCAGTGTGAATTAACCTAAACTTGTATGCATGGGTTATAGTTTAATATTCTGATTCTGATAGCAGCTGATTTTAGCAAAGTGCTAATACCAGGTAATACCATGAGTGCAGTACATTGCTTTTTTGCATTTGTTTTTGGAGTTTGATTCTACTATGTGGCCGATTCTGTTAAGCAAGACACTGTAAATGGATTTAATTGTAAATGCATAATCTATTTCAGTAACATACATATTAATATTTATGATGCATCTTCTCCCTCCTCCTTGGAATTTTAATTGGAAGACAAAGCTGAGAAGGTAGTGGATGAATCTGAGGAAGCTGCTGTGCCACATCCTTTTTATACTCTCATCCACAAACATTAAGGGAGAGAGTGTAAAGAATGCCCCAGTGGGTACTGTTGTTAAAAGCTCCATTATCAGAGCGACTCCTGGCCACTCCATTTATGTGTACGATTATGCAAAGATTATCTCAAAGAGTTCTGGTTATAAATACCATAATATCTCTTTATTTCTGTTTGTGGTAAGGCAGAATATAAGAACATCAAACTACAAATTAGATTACAAGTTGTCCCTTGCCTATTTCATCCTATTAATGCAATTTTCTAACAATGATCTATCAACATCTGATTTCTGGTAGTGTTTTTGTTATCAATGGGTCCTTCCCTAATTCTGTAACTTCTTTTGGCTGTAACCTGATAAAATCACTAGGGGCTTGGGGATAGTTATATCTTAGTTCTTTTAAAAATTCTGTTTAATTGTCTTAAAACATCCTTTTTAGGGCATTCCCAGATTTTAGGTTCATGTTCCTCTACATCCTCCTTAGGATTTACAACTTCCTTTTTTATTTTTATTTTTTGTAAATTTTCCTTAGTTTAAATGGAGTAAAGAACAAATGATTAGGAATAATGTATCTTATATATTTTAATGGTTAAACCAATACATGAGGCTTTGGTTTTCCTTTAGCTATTATCTCATTACAAATTCATTATGCTATGTAGAGGTTAGGGCCTTTCAGATGGCATTTCCACTAAAGTTTCTATCCATGTTTATGGCTTCTTGATGTGCAGGCCGGGAGCGACCCGAGCCCTTTTCGCGCTGCACGCGGGCTGTGGCCAGCAGCCCGGGCACGCCGGGTCGGAGAGGGAAGGCTTTTGAGCTGGAATTAGGCACAGATGCGTATCGGTAGTTTTAAAGATTATTTACTTACACCGAGATGGCAGTGGTGCAGGCTGGAAAACTTGATTGAGTTGCAGTTACAGACAGACAACACAGACGGTCTCGTGGAGGTTGCTAGGCTTCATGGTGCAGAGCTCCAGATGCTCTGGGTGAACGAGCCACCAAAATAGAAATCGTAAATACGTCTTATAAAAGTTGCGTTCGAAGACGGGAAGAGGTGGGCGGTGGATCAGGCTGCCACGCTTCTCTGGATCTCACACAGGGTTTCTATTACCCAGACGTGTACCCAGAGTCCCCACGAGATGGATGTGGAGTCGTCTTTGGCTTGGGTGGAAACTGCTCAAGCCTCTTATACGGCTAACAGGCCAATCGCTAGCCGCCACGTGTGAATAATTTAGCACTAGCCAATCACGGGAAACAAATTTGCATACCAGTGGCGGGAACTCTTTTGCACCATGCATTCCTCTTGCAACTAGAGCAATGCACCCTGCAAAAGAAGCTGCAGAAAAGGCGGGAAACTCGTCCCTGCACCGGCGTTTCCTCTTGCTACAGGAAACTGTCCCGTGCAATGCTCTGCAACTTGGCGGGGATAATTCTGGTGCCGAAGCACACACACAATCATGCCTTTTGGGTCATGACACTTGAATCTTGATTTTCATACGTGAAATTTGATATAATGCGATGGATGCAAATAAGCCAATATTATACTTGTATTACCCATTGATTCTTTCTTTGTTGGTATTCATTTTCATAATTTGATCATTATGGAATAGCTGCTGGCAATGAAATTTGTTCTCTCCCTCAGCTAATATTGTCTGCCACTGTACACTATCCAAGTATAGCTTATTGACCCTGCCAAGAGTGATTAGCCTTTAGAATCATATCTTTGTACTGGTTAACTTTTTACAAGCATTGGGCCAAATCCCAAGAGTTGGTTAGCATCTCCAAGTCCTAGCACCTCTCCAAAATTTGGCCTACTTATATTATTTAAAACTGATGCAGAAGAAAATATGTCACTACTGTTATGTGCATTTTAACTTTAGTCTGTCTCTTACTAAAGTTTAGTCTCTTACTACAAGAGACCATGAGTTTTTATTTCTATTTACCAGCATTCTAGCAAGACACAGCATTTTTTAAATTGTTAAATGTCAAGTATTGTGTTTAAATGATTTCTCCAGGGAATTACAGTGGAGTAGTCTCATACTTTGATTCCTGAGTTGGTATGAGGAGCTTAATTTCTTATTAATATGATTAAGCGTGTGTAGTGTCTACTGTAATTACTTTTAAAGAATGTCATATTCCAGTTGATATTTCAAAGTTAGGAGTCTGATTGGTTGTCAAATTCTATGATCATTCTTCTTTCTCCCAGTGAAATATTGTCCATTTACAAGAAGGAAACAAAGATTAATAAAGACTAATTCATGTAATGCATTTAATGCACTTTGAAGATTGGGGAAGTTGCTGAAAATTGCATGGAGTACTTAAAATGGTTTTGGTGGAAAGAAATATAGCTCCTAATGCTGAACAACTATTTCTTGTTGGGTTTTTTTCTTGGCATTACACTAGGGTGGCTGTGTGTTGAATAACATTTGCCAGCTCTTGTGTGGTGACCTTTCTACACTTTATTCTTGTCTATAGTGTTTGGGGAAAAAAAATGTTATTTTGATGGAAATCTCTGATTTAACACAATCATCCTTCAAAACAAATTTGGCCTTTTTTCATAGACTGAAGACGCATTACGCATCATATGAGCCAACGTTAAGACAGTTGACTGAAAAATACCAGGCTGTATTGAGACAGAAAATGCTAACCAGTTTGGAAAGAGACAGAGCAATTGGGCAGGTAAAATATGCTTAACTACAACTGGCAGCTGGTTCATACTTTTTATAAATGAATTGGTTCTTTATAGTAGAATTTAAAGAAGGTTATTTTATTGAGTTTCATTTGACTTATTAAAACCATTAGAACCATTTGTTTTCTTGATGCTTTTATTTTCTGAATCTTTAATGCTTTAGGATAATATGGGCAGAAGGAATATTCAAATCACATTTGCCTTCCAATGTCCTGCATGCATTACGTGACTGAAGAGTCTTCAGCATGCTTATGACTTGCTGCTGGGAACAGCACCAGAGTGTACACATCAATATGTTTTTGGATTTGAAGCATGTGAGCAGGACTGCGTGGGCAGGGCCTGCCTGGAGGTGTCTTGCCCAATATATGCTGCCGCCATAGCATAGACCAGTAGTTCTTAACTGGGATACCATGGCTCTCTGGGGTGCCATGAGGCTGTGGTGGCAGCTGACAGGTAAAACTGCCTTGTGCACTCCTCCAGCACTAGGGCTCTCTAATAAGCCTAAAGTAGGGAAAAAAGCTGCCTTGTGCTATGTAGCCCTTCGTGGTCCGGTGCCCGCAACACTCCTCCTGGAAACAGAGGCAGGTATGCAACTGTCCTGTCTGCTTCTTTTTCCAGGCTGCAACACAGTATTAAGCTGGCTGGGTACTAAGAATACTGATATTAACTTTATGACATGCTATAAACTACCTAATTCCTGAAATTCTTCCTTAGCACTATAGGTGATAATGATCCTCCTCTTTCCTGATAGGTCTTGATCTCCCATTAATCAAGCTTGTCTTCTGCTACTTGTCTGTTACCCCCGGGGATCTCTCTCCTCCAATTTCATACCCCTACATAGTTTTTAATCATTTCTGTGCCTGCTTCTTCCCTCACAACTGGTAAAGAATGCCTTGCATTCAAAGCTTGTCTAGCCTTATTCCAACCATGCAACTGGTCTAATAAAAGTTATTACCCACAAAAATCCTTGCTTCTTGCATAATTCCTGGATCATCATGGCTACAACATCACTCCAACACTATAAAAGCATAGTAATGGTGGGGCTGCTGTATACGGGGACCATTAATTATCATGGAGATAATATTGTCTTATTGAGTCCATCTGTTACCTCTTATTTTATATTTAGATTGTAAGCGCTTTGGGGCAGAAGCTGTTATTTTCTTGTTTACAATGTTTTGCACAATGGGTTCTGGTTCATGCTTCAAGGGAATAAAAGTAAATGTACAGAATATCAGCAAGAGAAAACTATGACTAGAGACCCCTGGAATTTTTCTTCTTTACTAAGGATAGATAGTCAAAGAATTAAAATGCTTTAAAATGATAGTGCTTTATGGATGACCCATTGTAACTGCTTTGTCTTTCCAATCTGTTCCACTTGAAATGAAAGTTTGAACTACTGTAACCTTGTAATGATTAGCCTGTTTCATTCAGGTTTAAAGTAACAGCTGGCTAGTTTTCTGATACTGGTATAGGAGAGGACAGATGAAACAGTTAGGTTAGTTCAGCCACTTTGTAGTCTCAAATAGTAAGTCCCTACCAGCTTTTAAAACAGATTAATATTATCTTAATATTACTATCATACTACCATACTGGGGTCTTGAACCAACCTGGGACTGTCGAGGCTGTGTCTGACAATCAGCTGATCATCAGACGTGGCCTGGACAGCCCAGGTCTGGAACCAGCTGGGGCCTGCCCTGGGTCTGGGACAGAGCTGCCTCTGTGTGATTTGCAGAATTGGGCAGGGGTAGCTCAGCAGTGGTGCAGTCAGGACTGGAGGAATTTTATGCCTCACACCATCAGGCTTCCTGTCATGCACATCTGGCATAGAACAGGGCCTTTTCAACAACATCATCTTTGTAATAGTAATTTTAGCTGTGTATTTGTCAATGAGCCATCAGCTGAATTATGACTTAAACTAATTCTACCAAAACAATAGAAGTACTTTAATTTTGGTAATATATTGGTCTTTATGGTAACAATACAGGAAGCTAGCCTTAATGCCTAGATGATTGCCAAAATGTGTTTAATCAAACAAATTAGATACTACTAAACATGTTTAAGTAAATAGAAAGGTTTAAAGAAATATATTACCAGTTTTTATTAGCATTAGGTACTTCAAAACATACCTTTTAGCACTGTAGTATCAGTATGTCAGGGGCCTGGTCTTCTGACATCATTGCTAACTTGCAAAATATTTAGCTCAGTTCTAGCCAGTTAGTATATATTATACTTGGAATACTCTTGACACTTCTGTTTCCTGAAGCAGTGGGTATCACACACATTCCTTTGTCCTCCCAGTGGAGAATTAGGATTGTAATTTCACTGTAATTTCACTATCTTTGGCTCCTCCGACCCCCTCTTTTTTTTTTTTTAGTCTTACTTGATTGATAGATTTATGTGCATATCACTCGGTCCCTTTAGGAGATGCAAAGAACTGTAAACAAAGGTGAGATGCAATTAGAATGAAAGACTACCTAAAGGAAAATGTCAAAAGGAAAAAGGTTATTGCCAAAATATTGACACCAAATGGAAGGTGTCTTTGAACAACAAAAAAAACCCAACTTGTAGAATTATCAAATGATCAAATGCTACACTTCTAGGTGATGAATATTCTTGAATGTGCAACACCATATTTTATGGCCAGTTTTATTGTAACAAACCAGTTTGCCATATTATGTCATAACGGTAATTTTTAATTCAGTGAGAGATTATGGTGAAAAGGTGATAACACAATTCCCTGTAATGTTTCTGTTTCTATTGTTTCAATAAATCTGGAAAATTCCCACCAAGAGTTCTGCAGAGGTTTTCTATTTTATTGTTCAGCCATATATATTTTTTAAATATTAGCTATATTTGGCAAGGTTCCTGAAAAAGGAACAGGATGATATTAGCAATTTAAAATCTTTGTATAATTAAACAGATAGTAAATTAGGTAACTAGGTGGTTATATGCAGTAGTTTCTGCTTAATTATGTATGTGTATGTGTTGAATGATTTTCTGTAATTGTGGGTAAAAAGAAAGGTGAAGTTTTCATAATACTTCTCTTGCTCTTTTTTTTTATTCCTTAGGTTACAGGTTTACAAGCTACATTACAAAATTTAGAATCTGGGCATGCCATTGAGGTCCCTGTGACCAGAGGTAAAATATTCACTTAAATACAAATGTTACATATCTTTCTTCTGATGTGATTTAACTTTTTGTATATGTATATTGAAATATTTACATTTCAAATGTTTTGCCAGCTGGTTTGATGACAAAGCTATGGACTAAAGCAGCAGTTCTCAGCTGGGGCTCTGTGGCCCGCAGGGTGGTGAGCAGGCTTAAACAGGTCTGCCAAGCTTGGCCTGGCATGGGGAGGAGCTGCCTCAGCCCCTAGGGCTGAGGCAAGTCCTTAAGAAAGGGTGGGAGCTGGCCTGCCTTGTCTGGCCCCACAGCCTCTATCTTGTGGGTGTCACTGTGGGATGGTGGGTGAGGCTCTGCCCTGCTGCTGCTCAGGTGAGTGGGTCCTTGGGGCTTCCCACCCACTGCACCTGGGGCCATGCGGGCTGGGCTGGGGAGCCGGGCAGTAGTTGTGGCACAGGTAGCCCGTGGAGTTTTATAGCATGCTAGGGGGGAGGCTCAGGAATAAAAAGGTTGAGATCCCCTGGGCTAGACATTCTGTTTTGCAGTAATGTCTTTCAAGTATTTACTCTCATGAGCAGTTCCATGGAAGATAATGAGACTGCTTTTGGCAGGAAGGATTGCTTGCATGTGTAAATGTGGAAGAATCATGCCGCAGAAACCCTAGTAGTTTTATGCAACTCAGTGAAAAGGAAGCAGATGGGACTGCTTTGAAAAAAAACCCAATGATTTCTTCCCCCTGCTTTTTGCTTTTTTGGACTCCTGCAGAAACCCTCCCCACCAAAACAAGGTCTGGAAAGAACCAATTTCCATATCTTCATTTTTGTCTCTTTCTAAATACTGTATATGAACAAAGGATAGGGGTGGAGTAGGGCAACAAGTATTTCTACAAGCTTATTTAATACTATGTTGAATTTTTAACTGTCCTCTAAATCCTTTTCACCTGAGGATATATTAATGCATTATATTTTATTTTATCATTCAGATTTTAGCAAGTAATCTTTGACATGTTTCCTAACATGTCTGAGACCTAGTTATCTGAATGAAGCCTTCCAGTTGCTCTCTTCAGGCTAAAATTGTAAGCTCTTGTTCAGCCTCCCTCCGGTGCAAGAATTCACTTTCCTTGGCAGTTTGCTAAAACCAAAGTTCAGCAAGCTGTAGACCAGACTGTACTTGTTTGCTTGTTTGTTTTTAATACCTTTCTATTCTGCTTAATTGAGAACATAGCTGCTTACATTTCTGGAGGGATTTGCAATGGTTTTGTAATGTTACCCAGTGTACTATAGGTATACTAGTTTAAGTTATGGTTTTAATTTTGTACAGAAGCAAGTATCTATTGAACCAATAGGTTCAGTGTGAATCAATAAAATAAATAAACCACAGATATATTGGTATAACGGAACACTATTCTGTAGTATATAATCAATTTTTTTTCACTGTTCATAATAATTTCTTAGGGTCAGATTCTGATGTTATTCCAAGAATCTGCATTTTTTTCCTCAAAACACTCTGGAAGCCGCTTAAAGGATGTCCTTTTGTGGAATGCATTCACTGGACCTGTTCCATTGTACTCCTGCAATCTTGAGCTACAACTAAAAGTGTAAACATTTGTATGAATAGAAAATAGAATGCTCATTTGTTCATCACATAGCAGACAGGGAAATAGAGAATAGGTGTTTTTATTTTATGCTGGTTTACAAGATAAGTTTGGTAACATTCAACTATTCTTTGTGTTGTGGCTTGAGGCTCTGAAATGTGGGTTCTACTTCTGTGCTAGTATTTTATATTATGGATGCCCCATCTGTCTCTTAGTCATATTATACAATACTTTCATTTGTTGTTTGAATGATTCCAAGAACCACTCTCCTGCTGTTCACAGTACTTGTTTATTCTCCAAAAATCTCAAGAGCACTTTATAATACCAAAAGTGACAGGCAGAGGAACACTTATAAATAAATAATATCACTTTACATTTCTAGCGCAAATTATTAAACAGATCAGCCACCCACATGCACATATAAACCTTAATTTATCTCATATCCAATGCATCATATTCCAAGTGATATTTCATTTCATTATCTTTTAGCACCACAGACTCCCATAATACATACATTTTATTGCACTTATACAGGTTTCACTTGTATCTCAGTGGGAAATTTCCTATTTTTTTCAGATGCTTTTTGTTGCAGGTAGCATGTTCTCTTGTCTCTTGAAGAGGTTTATGAATGCTGTAACATAATTTAAATCTTAAGAGGGGAACATATGCATAGGTACAACCTGGAGAAATTTTGGTTGCAATATTTTCTGAATTATAATATGGTATTCAATAAAGAGCTAGTATACAGAGTGGAGTTGATAACCTCACAGCAGCCTGTGATGCTTAGGATGTCCACCACTGCATTTTGTACCAGTTGTAGGTACTTCAGGGCTGACAGTTTCATGTCCAGACTTATTATGTTGGTACTTTCCAAACAGGATGCAACTCTGGCAAGTTACTACCTACCAAGATTAGGGCACGGTGTCCTAGCCAGCTGTAAAGTTGTAGTTGCAGAGTAGTTCAGGCAAATGAGAATGAGCTGTCTGCCCTCCAGTTAGCAATAGCAGAAATCATCCATCTGTTCCAGATCCTGACCTAACTCTAAATTGGACAAGGTCTAGAATATTCACTTTAGTTAGATTAACTTTAAAGTGTGGGTTAACTTGTTTTTAAGCCTGCTCAGCAACTGAAGGTTTGATGAAATGCAGGAAGTATATCCACAATGGATTTCTTCAGTGCTGGTCAGATTGTCTGTTGGAGGAAGGGGAGGAAAGTTTGTTGTATTTGTAGAAGATATATGCAGTATTACTTTCTCTGGTTGGCATCTAGATCTGATGTATAGTTCAGGAAGGCTGTCTTAAACTGCATTTGTTTATATATTTGCAATAACATCAATTCTGTGTCAGGTACTTCCTTGAAGAAGCTCGTATTCTAAGGAAACTAATTGACTAATTTTTCACAGGCCCATCTCGTTTCAGGTTATTTGTCATAAATTTTTCACAAATGGTACTTTATAAAGGAAAATATGAAAGGAGATGGTTTCTTCTAGTGTTTTTAAGACAATTGCCAGAATATATCTGTACTTCCCTAATCTGTTTCTCTAGAGCTTTTATGAAGGATATTTAATTAGAAAGAAGGAACTGGTTTGCAGCTAGGGTTGCAACATTTAGTAAGACATTACTTCTTTTATTCCTGTTTTTACTATGGAGCATTTTATCTTGGCCCGAAAGTCAATGCATTACTAGAGTAATTAAAGTTGGCCCTTAAGGGCTTCTTCACACATGCTCCAGGGTGGAGCGGGGAAGTAGCTCTAATTAAGAGGCCTGCAGTATCTCATATATTCAGTGTCCCATGCTTCAAAATGGCAGTAGGGGCGCTTGAGTTAAACTTGTTTGGTGGGGGTGCTTTACCTAAAGCGTGTTCAGCTCGTTGAATGAGCTTTAGTTGAAGTGCACCTCCCACCCCCATCATTTTGAAGCATGGGGGTGCTAAATACATGAGATGCTGAGGCTGCTGAAGTGTGCTAATTAGCATGCTCCAGCAGACTTGATTAATGGCATCTGCTCTGACACATGCTAATTAGAATGCATTGGAGCAGGCATTGGGCATGTATATAGCTGCCCAAAGGGGCCAAATTTAATACCTATTGAAGTAAGTTAAAGTTTGACTACAGTGCTCACTGAATCAAGCCTAAGATGTTTGCATATCCCTCAGTACTGGTTCTATATAAACAATCCTGACAAATTATAATTAGTGACAAGTACCTTTCTTTGCATGGTCCTTTCTTTTTCTTTCCTTTTAATATTTTTGCTTAGTGGTCATATGTTTGCATGTGTTTGTGACCTTTAGAGTGTGCTACAAAGTCTATCTCTTTATCCATGTTTGAAGAGATGCAGTGCAAGTTTTAGTACAAGGTAAAATGCAGACTCTTAAATGCTTGGAAAAGTTTGGTTGAGTCAATTTAATCTTTGGTTAATTGTTTTCTGACTTTGTTGTGCAAATTATCTGCAGAATATTTGCTAGTTTAATCTTTTTTTATGTAACCGATAGTAAAGGTGAGCGGAGCCATTTTAATGTATTCTAAATTAAAATAACTATGGCTGCCTACCTAAGGTTGTGTCTAATGTTGTTCTGTATGCTTGTATTTGCTTGATTGGATGACAGATGTCTCCATCTTTCAGACTAGTATTTTGTTGCAGTTGAGCTACATAAAATAAATATTGTAGTGAGAACTTAGCTGCAAAATTGTGACTCATTTTTCCTTTGGTATGCTTCACTTGTTCTTTCCAAACATGAGGGAAGAGCATTTCTCTGTTTCCCCTACATTTGATGAGTAAATGCCATTCAGTCCATTTGTGGGTATGCCAGATTTGGTAGAATACAGCTTTTTTTTTCTCTTTTTTCTTTTTTTTTTTTTAAAGTGTAAAGAGGGGGCTATCATCTCCATCTAAATACCCAAGGTAACACCTAAAGATTTCAAAATTGTTGTTCTCAGACACACAAAGCCTCTTACTTTTAACTTAATGGGTGTGTCCCCACATGCAGGGGTGTGTGCTTGCAAAGGAAAAAAAGTAACACCACAAATTTGTGCTGCTACTTTTTTCCTGGTGCACATGACCCTGCACATGTGGTTTGGTGTGGGGAAAAATGCCTTCCTTAGGGAAACTACCATTTTCCCCACTCTTCTCAGCTCTTGCTGGGCTGAAGGAGCCGGGGAACTAAAGAAGGGGAGATGCTCTGGCCACCAGCCAGAGTGTCCCCTGGAGGACTGAGCCTCCATGTCTGCTGGCACATGCTCTTGTGGTACATGCCACTTTTTCATAGCTTTTTTTTTTTTTATTGCTACTGGGATTTCCTAGTAGCGAATTTTGCCCACGCACTGCAAATTTGCAGTGCCACAAACAGCACATGCCTGCATGTCTGGATCTGGCCAGTGGGATACCAGGGATTTAGAAAGTCTATCATAAACTAAGGGCCAGAT